TCCCATCTGTAATATAGGAGGCATGTTCTGTAGAAGCCTACAAATTCGACCCAAGAGAGGCATGTATGTATTAATGCCATTTGTGTGCTGATCTTATCAGTGCAGACAACTGAGTAAATCTGCAGACGGAGACCATAGCACCCTTCATTGCCCTGATTGTTATAGAGAACAACAGTTGGTGTGGAATTTGTGTCATCATCTCTTCTCTTTGTGGTTTTATACGGCTAGGTGACTGTGGTGACTAGACATTCCATAAATCCTCTTCTAATAGTAAATAAGTTCATTTTATTCTCAAATTTATGATGATGATGCAATATTAACACAAGAAGCAAGAGCTTTTTAACCTCCGAATTGTTATCCTGCTTTATTTCAATAATGTGCTCTTCTTAAAACACCACGATGATACCTGAAGCTGTAAAAATTAATGAAATGATAAAGTGTTTTGGGGGTTGAATGCACTGAATATGTGCTGGTGTTTGGAATTGAACAGAATTGCAAATATTAAAAAATCTAATTTGATTTCCAGGACCAGAAAAGAAGAAAATGTTCTCGTTTTTCTGATGCACCTCATATCACTTTGGAGTTAAATGCCTAAATACTTTATTAGCAGAGGTTTTCAATGTTTAATTAAAACTCAGCCTTCCAGGCATTTTGGCTTTTCTTGTGAGTGTTCAAACAGGTCTATGGCATTTTTGAGACGGAGCTACTTTCAGTAGTGATGTCCACACAAAACCAAATTTCACAGCCAGGAGAGGCTGTTCATCTGGAGCTTTGAACTGTGTGGGTTTTGTTTTGTTCTGTTGTTTGGTGGTTAAAAACATCTTGCATTTTTTTTTTAAGATTTTATTTATTTACTTGACAGAGAGAGACACAGGGAGAGAGGGAACACAAGCAGGGGGAGTAGGAGAGGGAGAAGCAGGCTCCCCACGGAGCATGGAGCCCAATGCGGGGCTCAATCTAAGGACCCTGGGATCACGACCTGAGCCAAAGGCAGACGCTTAACCATCTGAGCCACCCAGGCGCCCCAGCATCCTGCATTTTAAATGATCGTGGTATATTTTTGTGAGGGCTCCAGGCATTTGTGATTTTGCCCATTTTAACTCTGCCATCGTTGTCTCTGGAATATCCACTTTTGGTCAACTGTGGCGATTATTGAAGGGTTAGGGAATGGATCCCAATTGTACAGGTTCAGTTCAAGGAGCCGGTTACTTTCTTAATGGCATCTGTATCCGTTCTCCTTGCTGGCTCGTTGTCTTTCGAATCTTGCTGGTGCTCTTGTCCTTTGTTTCCCCTCTTTACAAGGTGTGCCTCCAGAACAGCCAAACATTATCATCTTTGAGCATTCTGACAATTGTGCTACTCAGGCAATCAGAAAAGAAGCATTGTAAGATGGATACCCTACCTCTCCTTGATGAGTTGGCTGATTCCCACCCAGGAGTACTGATTGTTCCTTTCTCTGGACTCCTAAAGCTCTTGGAGTCCACAGCATACAATTCAATGATGGCTGCTAAGCTTCCTCCTTTTCCTCAAGATAACTGGTTTTTGAGACACTGAGTGAGAGATAGAAGACTCAGCTCAGTCTTCCCAGCTTTTGCTTCCCCAAATCCATTGTTCTCAGAAGGTATAGAGGATTCCTTTCCTAAGAGATTGCTGGGAATTTAGTTTGGTTAGCTAAACCAAGGAGCAATGCCACTTCTACTCGTGTCGGAGTCTCTTTCAGAAATTCCCAATCAATCTAAATAGCCCAACATCTAATCGTTACTGATATACTTTATTGTTTTCTAAGTTTCCAGGATGGCAGATGACTCTTGTTGCCTCAGCTAAGCTGTAAACAAATCAAGAACAAAGAAAGCAGAGGCCACAGGCAGCCCATGAATGTTACTTGCTTGGTTGATTCAAACAGGTTTCAAAGTTTTATTAAATTTAATCATATTGGTCAACATCTTTTGGGTTGCAGCCTAGTAACACTAATCAATTAATGATCTATTGTCCATTTTTTTTACTCATATGAATCTTTTTCAAATGTCTCATGATTCTAGTCCACTGATTTCTACCTGCCCCCCACCTCCCAGTTTAGGAAGATCATCGTGCTAAATTGGTTAAAAAAACAAGGTATATGAAAAAAACAAAAAACAAAAAAAAAAAGGTATATGGGGGGAATATTGTGACTTGAAAAATAGGACATTTTATTTTATCTGAGTTTCTAGTTTCCTACTATCAGAACTGTAGTTGAAGAACAGGTAAAATAGATCATCAAATACTTACTATGTGCAGTAGTCTTGGACTGGTGCTGGAATGTTAGCTGGCATTTCAAGCTACAGTAATGATTGGGAACTGCCTCAAAGACCAAAACTTAGCATTTGGTGCCAGAGTTGTAGAAATCTCAGTATATTAAAACCATGTTCAGAGTCACCATGCTGCAAAGGGTCCAGTGAGAAGCAGAAAGGCAAGCCTAAAGAAGATAGAAATTCGGATGGAGTCCATGGCCAATTTAAGATAAGTAAACCTGACTGCCTTTGGAGATATTGAAATCCTGAGCATCATGTTGGAAATATTTTCAGAGTGTTTCAGAATACAATACAAGGTAAATAAAAATCTGATTTTAAGTGGACTTAAACAGCAGGAGTACATTGCAGAGTGGAATCTGCCAGACTTGAGGATTTATGGATCAGTAAATTAAAGAGAATAATTAAAGGACTATCAGGGGTTGCCAGCTCTTAATTTTTTCTAGGTGTTATTTGCACTCTTTCCCCCTAATTAGATTCTACTGGGCAATGAGGTTCCCATATTAGATCTAAGCCATAATAGGGTTTATTTAAACAAAGAATGAAGACACATTTCAAAAGATACGCAAAGAAAAGTTCATTATCACCATGCAGAAGTTACTGGTTGGCATCTCCTTCACTCAGGATCCGATCCCCTTTTTCTCAGCCCTCAGGCTCCCTTGTTGTCATATATAGAGCCACATGCCAAAGTCTTCAGCTTAAGTCCAGGGCTGTGCAAAAGTGTGACCTCAAGTCTCACACACCAAGCAAGGATGATAGAGAGCAACAAAACCATCTGAAATCCTCATTTCACAAAGTGGAAGGCTGTCCAACAACAGAAATAGGAAGAATTTAATTGAAGATTAAAAGAATTATAAATTAAATACATATATCTTTCTGGAAAATTCACCCCATCCTGACTTTTGTTCATGCCACCGTAAACAGGGACACTGCATTCTGGACTCAAACAATGGACCAAAATATAGGAATCGTTGTTGAGTGCCATGGTGTTGGCAAATATCTGCTGGAAGTTAATACAAACTTTGTTTAGCCAGATTGAAGGGGTAGTTCAGCTAGATCTTTGAGAGTATCTTTATGATCTATTCCACATAATATATGTAATAAAAAAGCTATTAAAAGCTCTTCTGTAATTCAATACACACATATTGAGCACCAATTCTATATCACATACTTAATGTGGCTCTTGGAATATAAAATGCACTCAAATACAAATATAACAAAGACTAATAAAATGTGGAGTGGAGACAATAGAACAAAAAAATCGAGAACGTGCATTATTCTTGCTCTGCCTCCAAGAAGCCTCATGCCTCTGGGCATTTAGTATCCTATAATGGGTACAGTAAGGCATATTTGTCTTTAAAAACAGACTTAATTTTCACCATTTTACTGAGTTTTTAAAATATCTGAAGAATCAGAGGTAAACTATAAAAGAAGCTGATAATGTTTGGAATTCCACCTGTGGTGTCTCCTAGTACATATTCTCACTGCAATAGACTTCAGGTGTTCTTCCTTAAAAGCTTCAAAATGGGATTCTTAATACTAATGACTTATTGAAGTCATCTTTGAAAGTATTCCTAGTATCACCATCTACCCATCTCCTTTTGCTGATAAGAAAACAGTCCTCCAGATGTGAAGTGACTATATAACTAGTTAGTGGGTAAGCCTCCCTCCTGACCTCCAGTTCCTTGCTCTCTGCACTGTCTGACTAAGCTTTCTTTTGCATTTGGAACTACACACATGTGTTGTGCATTTTAATCTCCCAGAGCATTAAGGCATGGTAGGGAGGCAGCCTGGTTTTGGAGAGCAGTGGTAGCAGGATACAAAAGGGCAGATGGCCACAAGGCTCAGGGGATTCTTGCTCTGCTAATCACTTTTTCTACTTGCCCTACTGCTCCTGGCCCTGATGTCCCTTCTCTGCTCTTGTGCCCTTTCTAATCCCCATCCTCTTGCCCTCTTGGCACTAGCCTGATGGGACTGATCAGTGTTTTGATGGTGGCTTTGTGTGCTGTTGACCTTGGCCAATCAATCTGACCAGCTCTCCCTCCTTGAAGAGGAGGAATGACACAAATTGAAATGCTTGACCAGGGAGCTTGAATTCAGTGCAGCTGTTTTGGTTGGCATTTTATTTTTAAATATCAAAATTGAATGCCTTTATACTAGACTCACATATTCCAATTTGTTGTACACTCTCTCATTGCCTCCTGGATTAAGTCGGTCTTTTCTATGGGTTTCTCAGGACTGCCTGGACGCTGAAAGCCATTGAGTGGGCTACTGGTGGACTAGCATTTTCCTGACAAACTCCAGCAGGCAGATAAGGGTTCCTTTGGGTAGAACTCTCTCATTTTCAGCTTCCTGTGAGTCTCTTTTAAATCTAAAGTGCACTGTAGTGTTTCCCTCATTGGTCAGCGTTTAGCGCTTGTGTGGCCAAAATCATAGTGTTCCACACTCCATGGGGAGGGTCAGAGGCGCAAGTGAGAGTGTAGGTCATGAGAGCAGTCCATAGGGGTAAATGGATCAAAGCAACCCAGTTAAAATGCATTATTGTGTGTGCTCGAAGCAATGATTTGCTCTTCACTCTGCTTTTCTGGCATACATGTCTAAGGTAACATAAGAACTAGTAATATTTGGTAAATCACTAAAAGGTGGCCTTACTTGTGGCAGGATTCCCCTGGATGCAGGACTCCAGAGAAGGTACCAGGTCATGCAACAGTGTACTTCCCCTTTGCCCCAACATGCCTTTCATTCCAATCCTCTTCCATCCAGGTTGCCAACTTAGCCTGTTCCATTTCCAACAATGAGGAAGGGGTAAAATTAGTCCGGATGGCAGCCACCCAGATTGACAGCCTGTGTCCCCAGGTAAGCCTCATTCACTTTGTTTCAAAAGCCCATCGGTGGCCCAACACTCAGGGTCCTTGCCAGTCAGGCCCTCCTGTCTCTTCCTGACTTGCCTTGCCATCATTCTGGGGCTGTTTCGAGGTCTATCTTTCTCAAAAAGAAATTCTAACTGCCCCAGTCTTCAAAACTACTGTGGTAATTATTGTGTTTTCCACTCCTATTGACTTTGTTCTGTCTGTTTGGGGCTGTTATTTAAATGCTCCATATCTATTTACCTTGTCTCAACTAAATTCTAACCTTGTACATGTAGGACAGCAGTTAGCTTTCTACTACATCTGTGCTGAGTAAATACAACTTGTCCAGGAAACACTTTTTGAAACTTGAGGCTGATGACTATATCTTACAAAAAAAAAAAAAAAGGCAAACAAAAACTAATGGTAGTTGATAATGTACTTCATCTTTCATGTTTTTGATTGTCTTTTGAACACTGAGAACCCACTTATCTGTAGAAGCTACAGGGTCCAGGGTTTTAATGTGGCCTTTGACTTTCTTGTTTCTTTTTTGAATAGTGTAGTATGTTTCTGGATATTTCTAACAAATAGGTCATCAATGCTGCTCTCACACTGGCTGCCCGACCACAGAGCAAAGTTGCCCAGGACAACATGGATGTCTTCAAAGACCAGTGGGAGAAGCAGGTCCGAGTGCTGACAGAAGCCGTGGATGACATCACCTCAGTGGATGACTTCCTTTCTGTCTCAGGTAATCACTAATAGGCCCCTTCCAAGGCAGCTGGAGGAGAAGAACAGGATTAGGAGCATCTTGCAAGGGTCATGGGTGTCTGTTTCAAGTGTTGTTCTTGGCCCTTTGAGCTTTCACTCATCTCAGCAAATGTGATTGGAACACCCTTTTTGGAAATTCTTTTGTGTGCACATTATTTCAAAACACTGAGCCAAAACACTTGAGAGGAAAACACAAAATTTCTGATAAAGAGATTAGCAACCTGAAAAGATTCTTTAAGGAGACATGGGTTCTATTTTAGTTCCTAGAGTTTTTAAAGCAGGTTGGCCTTGCATACCTCTGAATTACCCATCTTAAAAAAGGATATGGTATGTGAGATTGGTTAATCCTCATGGTTTATATTTAAAAATCAAAAAAGCAATCAGCTAGCCCAATTTGGCCGTGTTTAAGGGGGTCATTTTTTCCCAATAAATGAAGTTACCCAGGTTTGCATTAAGGCAGGTAGAAATACTAGTCACCGAATGTACCCATTAGGAGATACTTGGGAGCCATGGAGGTTTTGAATACTTATCTATGAGGATGTGTAAGGAAGTTAGAGAAAACAAGTAGAACCAGTCATCACTTGAAATTGTAACTTTTTTCTTTGTAGAGGAAGCCAGACTGAAGGATGTTAGTATATTTGAATAACCATGTAGTCCCATTTGACCTTAATGGTACTCATCAATGCTGTTTCAAAATTGGGCTACCAGCCAGCAAATGGGCCTTTTTCCAAATACCTTTGTCCAAACACATTTGGCACATTTCACTTAGAAGAGTCTCTGTGGGAGGAATGTGAGAGGAGGTTGCTGGAAACATCAGCCTCCTTTGTGAGGCATTAAAATAATCAAGTGACCCTTGAAAATTCAGATTGACCGGATGTTGACTCTACCCACAGGTAGACCTAGCCTTGACCAGGGCCTGCCTGTCCTTGGCCACCTGAGGCCTGAGATGGAAGGGGTGGCAGCTGGTGGGATCCAGGCAGAAGGAGCTTCTGACTGCAATAATTTAGAAGGAATTTCTTGGGGAGGTGCTCAGAGATTTTGTCTAGGTGCAGTCTTTGCTTTCCTGGAAGAAACAGACAATGGGTTCCTACTGGGGGCTTCTGTTTGAAGCTTGTCTGAGAGCAGCAGAGTCAAATCTGTAGGTCTGATGGATAACTGAAAACCCAACTTTGAAACCATGGAAAGCAAGAGAAGGCAGATGGGAAGAACGAGTAAACAAACACAAGTTCAGTGTCTCTAATTTACCTGACTCTCTGCTGTTTGCTTTAATTCTTACCAAAATTCTGTAAGATAGGTATTAGTATTCCACGTCTTCCTTAGAGTAGACTAAGTCACTGAGGGGGTAGGTAACTGGGCAGAGGTGGTATGAAAATCCAGGTAATCCTCTTTTTCAGAAGCTATGTAGTTCTCAGTAAGTCAAGATAGCAGGAAATTTCCTATGGCACATCCAGCTTACACTGGTTCTCTTCTCCCCACCTCTGGTATCCTCATTCCACTCTCTCATTCCTTTCAGAAACGTTTCTTGTTTTTCATTCCTAAGGTGGTATGTTTTGGTGACTTTTCAAAGCAGCTATTCATTTAAATACACCCGAATTTGAGGGCTAGCTGAAAAAGAACTCAATACGTTGCCCTTTCTGGGATTGGCTTTGGCGATGGCCAAGTCCCAACCATGTAAAAGGTATCTGAAAAATGCATCTCTCGTGCAGTGCTTAGAAATTGTTGAGATAGGCATGTTGGGGAGATTTGGGTGGTGTGGAATAAATGAGTGGCCACCCCTTGTATCTAGTCAGTCTCTGCCAGGAGACTCTAGTGGCCCCCTGACAGGGCAGGGGCTCTCCCTCACCAGCCTCAGATCTCACAGCAATCCTCATAGCCCCTGGAAATTTGCTTCTGCATCCCCTTTTGCCTGCGAATGAGTAGAAAATATGCCTGGACTGCCTTTTTCAAAGACGAATCATTTCAGGCACCTGGGTGGCTCAGTCGTTAAGCGTCTGCCTTCAGCTCAGGTCATGATCCTAGGGTCCTGGGATCGAGCCCCACATCGGGCTCCCTGCTCCGCGGGAAGCCTGCTTCTCCCTCTCCCACTCTCCCTGCTTGTGTTCCCTCTTTCACTGTGTCTCTCTCTGTCAAATAAATAAATAAATAAATCTTTAAAAAAAAAAAGACGAATCATTTCAGAACTTAAAAACTTCCCAACTTCTCCTTTTCTTTAAATACATGTACAAAATTTTCTGAAGGTAGGGAAAAGCAAGGTGAGGAGGTCTTATCTCAGACTGTTTCAATTCTGCAAAGCTTTTTCTTAATTTTCTTCCCCCAGCCCTGCCCCTTCGCCCCCTTTCTCCCTGCCATTCCTTTGTGCATCTCATTATTACCAGCAACAAGGAAAGGCTTTGGCTTCCACTGATAACACTGTGCAGTCCAACCCCAGTGGTACAAATACCGTGGCATGCCATGACAGGAAAATGAACAGGCGTTCTCCTGGAGCCGGCGTTGGCAGGGCCTGCTGGAGCATGCCTTTGGAGTTGACAGTTGGAGGTGGCCGGTACCTTTCCACAGCCGGGCTTGACAAATAATGACACAGTCTACTCTGTCCTGCTGGTAGGCTATGGATATGGCCCAACTACTTCTCCTCTCCTCTCCCGAGCTGAAGCCAAAACATTTGCATCAGTAAATTGCAAGTTTGGCCCAGGAGATCTTTTGGAATGGCATTAATGACATTTTATGTATCAGTTTCTTCTTAAGGGAATATCTGTCCTGGCAGGAAACTCTATTAAAAAAAAAACAAAAACAAAAAGCAAGCAAAGATCTTTGTTTTTAAAAGACTACAGTTTTGTTTTGTTCATGCTACCTGAATCTGTGTACCTGAGAACTTAATTTGTCCATAAGAAATGCAACAAGTTTGAGGACAATGATGCTAGCTATTAACATTACAGGAGCAAAACCAATTTTCAGAAGTGGCCTGGGCTTGTAAAAAAGTGAAATGGCTGTGTTAGAACACTTAGGTTTTTCCCACTGGGTAAAAACTACAATTTTTAATAGTGGTTTAAAATGAGTGTCTTGGCATTAACCATGTGACAGTTTAATTCTTGGGTTTGGCTCACATAATAGCAGGCATCTAAGATCTGAAGAAGAGATTAACTCCATCCCATAATGTCCAAGCGTTTTGTTGTTTGCCTGTTCTTATTTTTCTTTTGGCTCCAGGGTCTTGAGTTTGTGTGAATTTTTAAAAGGAAACAGTGAACTTTGGTTTTGGATTTAGAATCTGTACCTTTGAGGTTTATAATAAGTACTTTGGTCGTCAGTGATTTTTTTATAACAAAATTACATCTTTTCTGAAATAGTAAGGCTGCAAAAATTCAAGCAAGTTTATTGCAAAATATATTGCAGTCAAGTATTTTATGATATATTTAAAAACCATGCTTCCTATCCAAGTGTAACGTCCAAAGAACCTGAGCAGTTTTTCCCCGCCATGGAGCCCTCTCTGGAATACCTATGCTTTTCATTATTACTTTTTCTACTGTATTCTTTTCTAGTTGGGAGAGCATTCCTGTTTTGACTTCTTGAGTTCTTTCTCTTGAAAATACCTTAGGATAAAAATACATAATGGTTTCCTTTCAATAGACATGTTTAGTCAGTGCTTTTTCTTTGATTACCTGCTGTGTATAAAGCACTGTCAGGAATGCAAATATGAATGAAGGACGGAGTCCGTCTTCAAATAATTCACTGTATCTCTTGATTGATCCTAGACTGGTGTGCTTCCAGACTTGTGGGCCCTACACCTGAGGGTGGAGGGAGAAGGAGACGAGGGGAGAAGTTATTACAAGGGGTCGGGACTCCATATATACACTGTGTAGGATCTTTTGATCAATTAACATGCCTATATGAACAGGTCCTATTCTTTCTCATATACATTGTCCATACTGAGCTTAAGAAAATCCAAATCTGGTGCGCCTGGGTGGCTCAGTCAGTTAAGCGTCTGCCTTCAGCTCAGGTCGTGATCCCAGGGTCCTGGGATCGAGCCCCGTGTCGGGCTCCCTGCTCCGCGGGAAGCCTGCTTCTCCCTCTCCCACTCCCTCTGCTTGTGTTCTCTCTCTCGCTTTGTCTCTCTCTGTCAAATAAATAAATAAAATCTTTAAAAAAAAATGCAAATCTGTTTTGAAACATTCCAAATCCTAGCTTTTACATATATACCATCCGCCGATATAACTACTATCAGGAGGGAATTGTGATTCATTTTCCCATAAAAGGGGTACCCCTAAATAGAAAATGCTGGGAAATGCTGAGTAAACTATCTTAACATTTCAAAAAAAAAAAAGCTGATTAAGAAAAATTAGTCAATAAATTGTAAAATTTACACTTTATTCACACAGCATGATAAACTAAACTAACCACAGAACAAATTAGTTGATGATTTGACTAATTAAAAGCAATGCTTTTGATATCCTGGATTTCCAGCTTCTGCTAGCCTCCTTCAAATACGTATCATTTAGATCTATTAAAGCATATTTTTTTCTGGTGTCCTAATTAAATTAGTTGCACATTTCTAGTTTGGGAAATAGGTTTTAAAGAAAAAAATTATCATTTCATTTTAAGATATTAGGTTATGAGTGGGCTTCTTAGAATTAATTTTTTTTAAATCAACTCCAGAGAGATTATTAGGATCTAATATAATTAACACATTCCATCTCTGTTCTGTTTCAGAATAGAGATGGAATCTAAAATTCAATCTATAAACTATGCGTGGAAAAGCAGTAGTGTTGCTGTTCTTCTATTGTTTTAGTCAAAGAAAATAGAAGATGAATGCAGGGTTTTGACATGCAGCCCCTCCCAGTTGGTTACTTTTGGGGACAAGGGCACATTTGAATAGTCTGGTGAGATCCAGCAGGGTGGTAAGCTGGGCAATAAGAGAGGCCTTTCAAAATCAAACTTTTGTATTTGAAACCCTGTACCAAGTTTGAGTAAACCTTTTTCTCAGCTGTCCTTTTAAGTGAGTTTGCATAACACAAACCAGGATCTCAGAAAGAGGTGGTTTTCAGAAGTTTCTTAACCAAACTGAAAACTTCTTTTTTTTTTTTTAAGATTTTATTTATTTGACAGAGAGAGACACAGTGAGAGAGGGAACACAAGCAGGGGGAGCGGGAGAGGGAGAAGCAGGCTTCCCACGGAGCAGGGAGCCCGATGCGGGGCTCAATCCCAGGACCCTGGGATCATGACCTGAGCCAAAGGCAGACGCTTAATGACGGAGCCACCCAGGCGCCCCCAAACTGAAAACTTCTTAAAGTCTGTATTTTCACATTTGTTTCTGTTTTACTCAGGAAAATGTCAGCATTCAGGAAGTACTTTTTGTGAGTTTAAATCTAAATTTAAAATTAAAATGCCTTTTATTCTATTTTAATTTTGATTTGAAATTAAAGAACTAGAGAACATAGAAATCAGAAATTCATAATGGTTTGAATGAGGAAATTCTATTGTATGAGGTCAAAACAGAGGTTCCATTATGAAAAGTAAGTTATACTTTGCAAGTTTCTGCCTAGGGGCCTGAAAGAACAGATATTCGTTCTGAGTGACTGGCTTAATGAAAGCAGGAGAGATCTGTGGTGGAGACTGGTGGTGGCTCAGTACCTTTCCCTCTTTCCCTATTTAGGAATTTTTAATTCAGAGCTAGCCCGAGAAAATTCTCAAGGAGGTAATAATTTATTTTAATCCTTTATTAACTATTTATTGAATTTGGCAGTTATGATTTTTTAAAAGTTACCAGATTATTTAAGATTATTTCTCACTTGTTCTCTTTATTTATAGTGTGTGTGTGTATTTTCAGCTTAAGTTCTTTTCTTTCCACAGAGCACTAAACTTTTTCAACATTCCTTAAAATTCTGTTTCTAAAGAGTGTTCAAGGGACATAATTACAGATCTCACTTTGGGCATAAGAAATACAAAATTGCATATGTGCAAAACCATAAGGGACCAAATTGCATGTATTCACTCTGCCACTAGAGAGTGAAACTCGCAGCCTGCCTGCCTGGATTCTACTTTGGGCAATGAGGGAGAGTGATCACTGACCTTGACTCTAATCTGAGGGAGCCAGCCACAAGACTGGATTATATTTTAACTGTGGAAAACACTGTCATCCCCTTCATCTGGTCTGTTTTCCTGTTGTATGTACCTTGTGCATGACATGACATTAAAAAAATGATTAGGTGGTATTGGTCATTTTAGAGTTTCCCTTAAATGTCTCCTTAATAAAAACATGATCAAACGAGCATGCACCCCGAGCTTGATTCTGGTCATGTTTGGAAATGTTTCTGCCTGATCAGGTTGGCTTCATGTTCACTGCCACAACCACTTTTTATTTTATTTTTTTAAGATTGATTTACTTATTTAAGAGAGAAAGAGTGAGAGTGTGGTTGTGCGTGTGTGGGGGGAGGGTAGGAGCAGAGGGAGAGGGACAAGCAGACTCCCTGCTGAGCAGGGAGCCTGAAGCAGGGCTGGATCCCAGAACGATCATGACCTGAGCTGAAACCAAGAGTCAGATGCTTAACTGACTGAGCCACCCAGACACTCCTGCCACATCCACTCTTAAAATGCAATAAATCTCAAATATTAAAGGGATGCTCAAAGTATGGTGTTGAAAGTATGGTCCCCAAACCCACGGCATTAACATCACCTGGGAACCAGGTAGAAATGTAATTTCTTGGGCCCACCCCAGACCTACTGAGTCAGAAACTCTAGTAAGAGTGATACCTTGGCATTCTGTATGATGCTGTGAGCCCTCTGGCTGGTGCTCAAGTTTGAGAACTGCTACTATAATTATAAAATACATTCTTTAAATGTTATTTCAGTGTTGTATGTATTGAGATGTGCAAGGTGATGGCTCATGAAGTTGATGAATCTCTCTTAGGTTGCTTATTAAGTGTGTGAGTGGTATAAAATCATATAAATATGTATGTGTTTCCTCTGCAGAGAATCACATCTTGGAGGATGTGAACAAGTGTGTGATAGCCCTCCAAGAAGGGGACGTGGACACCCTGGACCGGACCGCAGGGGCCATCAGGGGCCGGGCAGCTCGAGTGATACACATCATTAATGCTGAGATGGAGAATTATGAAGCTGGTGTTTATACCGAGAAGGTTCTGGAAGCTACAAAATTGCTCTCTGAGACAGGTAAACATGGATATTAGATTCAACCAAAATGTCAATGCCATGATTAATTTCCATATTTGAATTAATCTTTTTCATTGTCTTTTATAGGCCTCTGTGCTTCTAAATTACACCTGATCATAACAGAGATACTCTTGATTTCTTGAGTTTGAATTTGAATAACTTTAGCAGAATAACAACTTTATTGCTTTGCATGTACATATTACTTTATAGTTTTCCCCTATAATCCCCCTTGATTCTCACAAGGGCCTTATGAAGTAGGCAGATTTTTATTATCTGCAACTATGCATGTGAAAGTGGAGGTTTAAATGACTCAAGAGACTGGAAAAAGGTCACAAGTCTAGAAAACAGTAGAGATGTGATGGGGACTTGGAATCTTGAACTTGAAACCATTTCTCCATCTATTTCTTGAGAAGATAGGACCTTGAGGAAGGAGAAAGCATAAAGGCTGTAGGTAGTATCTGGATATGAAATGCTCACAGGAAGGGGGTGGTAGCTGCAAACAAAGGGTCAGAGTTTGAATATGTGCCTCGCTTCTCTAGGAAAGCCTTCCATGCCCTCTTCCAGAGCATGTGCTGTCCACTAGGGGATCACTGCTGTGCTAAGACTGGGTTACACATCGGAGCCTGTCATAGCTCTCTGGTGCATTGGGGTGGAGAAAAAAAGGCTTACTTTCACTGAGTTAGCAGAACAGCCCATCCCTTTGAAAAGTTGTGTCGAAGACTGACCTGTTTTTAGTAGTTTTTACTCTTGACTAGTGTCACTGGGCTTCAGACCCTTTCTCAGGTCCCTAATACTGTGTGTGTGTGTGTGTGTGTGTGTGTGTGTGTGTGTGTGTATTGGGTGGGAAACAGTGGTTAGAAAGTTCAGGGAAGGAAAGAACACAAAGGGATAGAAAAAGAGAATTTAAGTTTACTTTGGATGGGGTTGTGAATAGGAAATGAACTGAGTCCTATGTAGGCACACAAGGACCTCTCAAACTTCAATGTGGGCCTTTCCTGGTCTGGAGATGGACTGTGGAACCTATTAGGATTTAAAAAAACAAATGTGTTTCTGAAAGGTCACATAAAGCAGTGTTCCAAGTTCTACATGAAACAACATGTTAGTTGAAATAGGTTTCCTTCTACAGGGAAAAGGTTATTTACAAAGACTTCTGTAGATGTTTGTTAGTCTGAAATAGCAAGGAAAAACAGCAATAAACATGGACCTTGGTTGTTCTCTTTGAAATATAAGCAGAAAGGGAATAGGGTAACATCACATCATAAAGAGCACATCTAAGGATTGTTGCTCTTGAGAATCATCACAGACTTAGAATTAGAAATAATACCAGTAATGATAATAAGATATATCTACATTTTAATTAGTTGAAATTTAGCACTCTTTTCTTTCAAATAGGCTTGCCCTTTGCATTCAATAAAGCAGCACAAAGCAAGTGCTACAGTTTCTTCCCTCACTTGGAAGAATTAGAAACAGGCATTTTACTCTCCAGTATAAGGACTTTTTTTTTTTCTTAGAGGACCTCCTCACATTTCTGTGGCTCTCAGTTTCTGGCCCTTTAGCTGTAATCTGTTACAAAGTCTCAGCTTTACATGGGGTATTAGCCACATAGCAGCACTCCCTTGGGTCTGACACTGGGGAAAGAGTAGCAGAGAAGGGTGGAAGGCATGAAGACAGGACTTTGAACGCATGCCTGCTCATGACTGGGTGGAATGCTCATTGTAATAGTTGAAAGACACAGAGCATATTGCCAATTTACATGTGACTTTGTGCACACCAAGAACCCAGGCATTGTTTAAGAGACATTCTGGAGTTGTTTTCTCATTGTATTTTGGGCTGCTTTAATGAACAGAAGGTACAGTGCTCATTAGGTCAAAATCTGCTTAAAGACAAGGGCAACGTGCTTAGTTGGTTGAACTATTTTTACCTAATTTCACTCAAACTCTTGAAATGTAAATAATTTTCTGGTTGCTTTTCTTTCTTTCTTTCTTTCTTTCTTTCTTTCTTTCTTTCTTTCTTTCTTTCTTTCTTTCTTTTTTTCTTTCTTTCTTTCTTTCTTTCTTAAACAACAAAATCAATGAAATATGAAACAGAGCAATCCATCCAGGATTGTTGTTGCTCATCAAGATTTTTCTCTTAGTTGTTCACTGTCAGAGCTTTTAAAACTCTCATTTCAACCCTTCCTTGCAGTGATTGAATACTCTGGGGACTTAACTAAAGATACCTTTGAGATTCTGATGTTCACATACAGTTCTTAATTGAACAGGGAAGATGGACAAGGCTCTTTAAATTTTTCAAGAACTATTGATGATAACTAGGAAAATAATCAGGTAGAAGAGATTGAAATAGTTTCTACACAACTGTAATTGAACATACAGGAATATGTGTCAAGGAAAAGTAGATGTTGTTGGGCTCAGAACTAGAACATACAATGGATATACATTCTTTTGCTTCTTTCTTCAGTTTTCTCTCTCCTAAACCGAAACAATACTGCTTCTTAGGAGTAACTAGAGAGGTTGTCAAAGAAATGAAAGCAAAAGCTTGAGCTGTTAACTCACCCATGCTAATGAGAATTGTTAGGACTGTACTAGACACTTGGAGTTGGAGGTAGCAGTTCTGCGATTGTGGTTGTGCAGTTTTGTTCAGTTAGTCTTTTTGTCACTGTCTGGCCGTGCTCTGGAGACCTATGTCCTCAATATAAAAACTGCTATGCATATCATTAATACCCAGATTTCTACCTTTGGGCTAATGCTTTGTTTGATTTTTTTTTTTTTAATGAGAGCCACATTGTTCACTTTTTTTTTATATGAGCTTATTAAACTTTGTCCTGAGAGTACATTTTATTTTGGGGATAGAACACAGGGGTAGTGGGCAAGGGGGGAGAAGGTACCAAAAGGAAGGATGAAGAAAAAGAAGAGCCCAGAATACGGAAGACAAAATATCATGTTTTCTTCTGCCTGCCACCACCTACCAGATTCTACCCAGTTTTATGTCTGAATTGTTATATCCCAGACCTTAAGGCAGAAGTTCTCAATCTCTGTACCACTGACTTTTTAGGTGAGGTAATTATTTCTTGAGGGAGGGGAGCTGTCCTGTGCATTATAGGATACCTAGCACTGCTGGCCTCTACCCACTAGATGCTTAGAGGACCTCTTTTCTTCCCCATTCCAAGTTGTGACCATAAAAGTCATAAAAGACCATAAAAGTATCTTTAGATATTGCCAGATATCCTTGAAGGGTGGGCAAAATAACCTCCATTCAGAATAGCTGCTCTAAGGGGAAGAAATATCCCCAAATAGCGACAAGTTTAAACAAGGCAAAATGGATCTTATGTACCATGGCCATAAGATAAAAGAAGTGAAGGGGGTGGGGTAAGAGAAGAATTACATATATATTACAGAGAAGAATCTAAAAAAGGGCTGAACATTCCAAGTCTTGACTAGACCAGACTTTGCTGCTGAAGGGGTTTGCAAACATAGGCCAGCCCCCATTTAGACATGGAAATGTTGCCAGGGACAGCCTCTGCAGAAGGACTCCCATTTTACCACCTGGCTGCCTTCTCTGAGTGGCTAGAAATTGAAAGGGATCCAAAGAGTGACATAACAGTCTGTAGTTGATTCTCCATGAATTACTTTCTCAGTGAAGACAGTGTTTTGTTGAAGAGTGCTTTTTGTGTTTTTATGAATGCTGAATTAAATTTGTGAAAATAATTTTGTGGATTATTAGTATGCTAAAATCCTAGGGCAACATTATATAAAAATTTACCTCTTTTTTTTTTTAATCAAACTATCTAGGGTGATGAAAACACAAACCTGATCTACATCAGACCCATTAAATACTTACATAGTATATTTGATGGGCTTTTCAGTAAAACCTGAATTATAACAAATTGCCAACAGCATGCACAGTTGACTAGACCCATCTTCAGAGATCTCATTTACAAAGTCAGATTGCTCCAGGAGATTGAGGGGGGTGGAAGTACATTCAGTCATAGCATATTTAGATGTATAAAGAGTAGCTCATCTTCACCAAATGGATGATATTGAAATGTCATTTTTATAAATTTGATATCTGATACAAGTTTGTGGCAATGTGAATGTGGTTGGGTTGAGAGATCTTTGAGATTCTGCTGGCAGTTCCCTCTTCAGAGGGCACAGATAAAAAGAGGTGAAAAAAAGGAAATAGGAAAAAAAAAAGTATTTTAAATGAGAACTCCATGTTAGTGGGCACTCCATATGTGGAGATTAAAATTCCAGTATTTTGGAGAACATGTCCAAACAGATGGTATAGTTTTTCTTTCTTGCTTGCTTGCTTTCTTTCTCTCTCTCTCTTTTTTTAATTAAGACTATTTTTTAGAGCAGTTTAATGTTCATAGCAAAACTGAGGGCAAAGTACAGAGATTTCCCATGTACCCCTTGACCCCACACATGCATAGGCTCCCCTGTGATCAAAATGCCCTATCAGAGTAGTACATTTGTTACAATTAAAGAGGCTGCACTTACCCATCGTAATGGCCCAACGTCCATAGCTTACAGTAATGTTCACTCATGTTATACTTTTTGTGGGTTTAGACTAATGTATAATGACCTGTATCCATCATTACGGTATCATACAGCATATTTTCACTGCCCTAAAAGTTACCTGTACTTCACCTATTTATCCCTCCCCCCCCGACCCCTCACCCCTGGTTCCACTGATCTTTTTACTGCTTCCACAGTATTGTCATTTCCAGAATGTCATGTAGTTGAAATCATATAGTATATTGCCTTCTTAGATTACTTCCTTCACTAAGTAGAGATGGTATAATTTTTACTTCTATGCTTTTGTAAAGTTTTCATAGGAACAAAGGGGAACTTTTTATACCATTTCTATATATTTTGCCTAGAAAATGTAAGAGGATCAGCGAACAGAAAGTATCAAAATTGGAAATAGTAATGAGCGGTAAAGCTGTGTCAGTACAATGTAGTTGAACAAATCCAGATTAGGAATCAGAAGAACTTCATTCT